GTACATTTTAAAATTATCTTTTCCATTTAATAATTTATTAATAAACTAATAATGTATATGAAATAATTACACAAAGTGTAATCTGTTTTCAATAGTTTTATAATAAGGTAAAGAAGAACAAGTTTGTTTATGTTTATTGTCTAGCCATAGGTCCCTTAGTGTATAATTATTGGTCCTGAGAGATTCCATCAGTACCAGTACTCCATCAGTATCAATGTTAGTACCATCGAGAGTAAGGTAAGATAGTGTGTGGTTGTAGAGTAAAAGTTCAGCTAGTGACTGAGCACTGGTTGAAGTGATGTCAGGATTGTTATGAAGGAGTAAGTGAATAATTGTTTTATTATTAATTAATGATTGTGTTAGTGCAATGACTCCATCATCATTGATGGAATTGGGACTGATCCATAGTGTCTCTAATGAAGTATTGTTTGTTATTTTGTGAGACAGTAAGAGGATGACATCTTTTGTTATTTTAGTGTTATATATAAAAATCCTCTTTATTGTTCTTATGTCTAGTACTTGAGACATCATCAAGTATACAATATCAGGTGATGAGTGAAAGAGGTTAATTTCCTGATGACTGTCCGTTAATTGACTGATCACTTCCTGACAATGACCTGCTGATGGTTTAGTGAGGGTTACACTATGACTCTCCCACTCCACCTCTCCAGTCTCTTCTCCTAATAATAAACACAGTCAGTCAGTTAATGTGTGTATATTATTATTTTAATACAGTATAATAGGTAAAATGATAATTGGGGCGAGCCTGAGCTCGCCCCACTCTAGCTATACTCTCAGTCACACCCCTTCTGTCCCTCTGTCTGTCTGTCCTCGTACGTCACCCCTATTTATGCGTAGATCTAATACGGTAGATAGATACTATTATGCATTACCAATGCAATTTTCAATTTTTCATTGAAAGTGGGAGCGGTCACAGTAAAATAAAAATGGCAACTAACACACTGGAAGAATTCATGAGCTTTCTAGCAGCAATATAAGGCAGATACCGTCCAAAGACTTCCCCAGCAGCTATAGAAGGTTTTAAATTCAATTAATAACCTATGAAGCTCGTCTTTACTGATGCAATTGCTATTAAAACTGTGAAAGTCAATCAAGCTTTTTCTCAGTCATCTTAATATTGGATAATATTATATCTAAAGCTAAGTAAAGCATCTTTACAGACATTTATAGGCAAGAAATGTGTATGTGAAACTAGAAGACTAAAAGTTATCAATTTTATCAGCAGCATTAAACTTTCATCATGTAAATCATGTTGCTATGCCTAAATCATGATGCATGCTTTGAAATCATCAGCACTGAGTAGATTATAGATGGATAGATCCAGTGTCATAATTGCTTTGCTAGCTTAGGCTCGCCCCTTAATGTTCTACATTGCTTCTAGTATTATATTATTTTATTAATGATGTTTGTTTGTGTGTTGTTCCAGGTGATGCTGGTTTTTGTACCAGTAAGTCATTACAGCTGCTAGGATGGAATGGGTGTGGTCTATCTTTTATCATGTGACAGTAAACAAAAATCAATTGTACATTTTATTAATGTATTGGAATCAATAATTATTGTCCCTCCCTCCCTCCCTCTCTCACTCTCCCTCCGGCTTTACTTCCCTCCATCTCTTTCTCTCCCTTCCCCTTTCTCTCTCTTCCTTCTTCCCCTCTCTCTCTCCTTCTCTTGTAGGGTGAAGGTCACTGTAGTACTTATAAACTGATTCAACCACATGCAGTTAAGTGTGGACACAATTGAGCTGGTTTCTGAACCATTTCAAGTTGAACTGGCTTGTATGTATAGATGTGACTTAATTTTTGTGATTTTTTTGGTAAATTTCAAATATGCAGTTTTTGTGATTATTGATATTGTATTTAAAAATTAATTATTAAACATAAACACTTTTTGAATTTACTATATCAAGAGTAAATTTACCCTTGACTGTATCACATACAAATTGTAGATGATTCAACAATTTTAGAATTGACACAGAATTAATTCTTAAACTTAACATTCTTTAATTTAGCGTATTACATACAAATTGTAG